ATCTTTTCTAAACCCACTGGTAGGGTCCTCTTCAATGGCTGGTGTGTTGGTGTCCAAGGTAACTGATTAACTTTGGCACTCAGTCTGAGGTGAGAGGATAACTGTGGCATCTGCCTTTGCAGGCTGGTAAAATATGTTATATCTCATACTTTGTAATGTCAATAATGCTTTTTGTCATCTAATGAGACATTGGATTGTGGTGGCTGCACTTTTGAGTGGTATGCTGTGACTCTCTGTCTGAGGGCCCTGCCTCACTCTCATTTAGTTTGTTGTTTCTAATGGCTGCTCTGCTGCTGTGGTGTATTCAATTGTAGGAATATCTTTGGGGTTATTGCACATAACTTGCTAAGAACTTGGGAAAATTGCTAAGAAGTACAGATGATGGGGAGAAAACCTTCCTGTGCTTTGACTAATCCCTGTACGACTGATGGCTTAAACAAACTTATCGTTGCCAACTTTGGGAGCTGACGCCCTGGTCTTGGCACCGCGGGTTGGAGAAAATCAAAAGAAACTTGCAGGCCAGAGAAATCATCTTAGGTTTAATCTTAGGTGTAGCCAGAGTAAAATTATCCCAAAATGTTTAAAGCAAAAAGCATTAGAAACAGGCCAGTTGGCAAGAAAAAATACACAAAACTACTGTATGAAGATTTCTCAATTTAAGAATTCGACGATTAACATAAGAGATTTTAACCTACAGGACGAGATAGAGGCCTTAAGCACAAACGGGAATTGCAGTCTCACCAGAGTTTTTTCAGAGGATTTTGGACGTTTACGGAAACTGCCCAATGAACCATCACAAGAAGGCCAAAGAACGTCAGATAGGGGCCCACAAAAAAAATAAAAATTTCTAAAACTCCAAAACCCTATGCTTTTCCACATTCTAAAAGTGGCAATTGGACAGGGAAGCCTAGGACAGGGAGAATTGCGTGTCAAAAATCTGTGATCGGACATTTATCACAGCGGAAAAAGATGTTCTTACTAAAGGCCTAATTTTGCAATAACCCCAAAAGATATTTCCCTTCAAATGTAACAATTCCTACTAGTACAGCACAGCAGCAGAAGCAGCCATTAGAAAACAACCAAACCTAACTGAACGGTGAGGCAGGGTCCCTCAGACTGAGAGTCTCTGCAAACATCAAAAGTGCGGAAGCCACCACAATCCAATGTCTCATTATTTGAGCAAATAAGCCTATTGGCATTAACAAAAGGATGGAGTATAAATATTTTACCAGCTGACAAAGGAGAGATGCACCGTTATCCTCAACACTCAGATATGAGGTCCAAAGTTAATCAGTTACTCTTGGACACAACACGTACCAGCATTGAAGAGGGACACTAAGTGGGTTAGGAAAAAGATTATAGACTTCCTTCAGAGCTTAATGAAAGAGGGGCATTATTGAAAAACCACTATATTACAAACTCTTTACCAGGGCACCATCCCCAGTATTTATGGACTCCCAAAATACACAAACAAAACTTTCACTTCGGCCTATTGTATGTAGCATAGACTCTATCACTACAACATGGCTAAACCACCTCAAAACATTCTGGCTCGTTGGGGGGTAACACCCACCATCACATAGATAAACACAAAAGTATTTGTAAAATAAAATCAAAACACTCCAGTTTGACACAGATGAGACAATGGTCTCGTTTGAAGTGACATCGCTTTTTACGTCGGTCCTATTACAGAGGCGGTGGAGGCTGTAAGAGGAAAGCTACAGAATAGAGCCTACACTAGGGGTGGAGTACGAAACTACAGCTGACCACATCTCGTGAAATACTTGAAATGTGTCTCCCCTAACACCACGTATTACCAATTTAGAGGCACCTTCTAAAACAGTGGTTCCCAAAGTGGGGGTCCCGACCCCCCGGGGGGGTCGCGGGAACCCCTGGGGGGGTCGCAAGATGATTTCCACACAAACAAACAAAAAAGATTTTTTTTTTTTGAGCAAATATAAAGTCCTTAAATATTTATTTAGCATTTGATTTGATTCAAAAGGACTACTTGTTAAATTGTGTTTGGAGACTATAATATATTTTAATAACGTTAGTAATTTTGTCCCAGTCATTGCAGCGTCAATCAAAATCATCACGTAACACAGCTCACATCATGCGCAGCGACAAAGCGTGTCCTGCTGTTGTTTGCTAAAACTAAAAGGTGTTTGGAGGCTACAAATAAATAATACCTGCTTTAAAATGAAACGTGGTTAATATCCACAACAGAAAAACCCGGAGGGGGAGAAAAGTCACTTGTATCAGGGGTCAGGCTGATGGTGCGAAGAGAGGGAGAGAGGGCAAAGGAGGGAGAGAGGGCAGAGGAGGGAGAGAGGGCAGCGGATAGAGGGAGGGCAGCGGATAGAGGGAGGACAGCGGAGGGAGGGAGGACAGCGGAGGGAGGGAGGACAGCGGTAGAACAGCGCGTTAAAGAGGCCCGGCTTTTCGGAGTCAAAGGTAAAGAGGTCCGCACATTAAAAGCGGGTGGCCGGTTTATGCCTTTACTGACAGTAACTTTGGAAAGAGAAGCCGCGGGGATGAACCGCATAAAGTAACAGCAGAAAGCGGCCGCCCGCTTTTAATGTGCGGACCTCTTTACCGCTGATTCCAGAAAGCCGGCCCACTTTACCGCGGTAGGAGAACAGTGAGGGCGAGCCGCAAGAAATGCTGAGGAGGGAGCCCACCAAGCCCACTGTGTCACTACATGAGTAAAAAATTTTTGGGCTAGACAGTGCAGCTCGGTAGTGGCGTGAGTCTCTAGAAAGCGTTACTCCGTATCAAGGAAATAGGGGAAAGGGGGGGGGGGGGGGGGGGGGGGGGGGGGGGGGGGGGTTACCAGGGCATTTATGATGGGGGTCGCGGGCTAAAAACTTTGGGAACCCCTGCTCTAAAACATGCTCGCCTGGTTCACCTCAGCTCAAGACTAAGGCTGAGTTTACACAGAGACAATGTAGCAGTAAAACAGTATAGTTGGATGTCGGTTTCTACCAAGCGTTCATACGAAGACTGTGTTCCAGGGGGGTGAAAACGTAAGTGTTCAGATCCATCCTGCATAGTGGGACAACTCAGATACGCTGCACAGCGGGGCTCTCTTTCACACCCGCAAGAGGGAAAAGGTGTGAAATCCCCCTCTGCTCTGACCCCCACCACCGCGCTGCTCCCCGCACGTAAATTTGGACATGCGCAGTAGCGGAGAACAAACATAAACAACAATGGCGGCGGGCACACTAACTAGCTTCGTGGGCTTCCAGCGCGGCACAGAGGATAATTCTACTCCTTTGTTCGTCCAAACGAGACCACGCGAAGCTCTAGGTTCAGTTTCCATTTTCACAGCTGCTGTTAAAAGGCAGAATGATATTTGTGCGTTCTGAGGTTCTGGTACAGGAAGTGAGTACACTGCCGAGAGGGGGGCTGGGCACGGGGCTGGGGGTCGAGTGATTGCTGTAAAGTTTCTCTGCCCACTACTGGCCGGGCGCTAGAACTGCATCGTTTTTCAACCTCATGTGAACGCTGAGAAATTTGCATTAGGAGCCAGGTCGTTTCTGTTAATAGCCTGGAAACGTCTGCGCAGTGTCTCAGTATAAACAGGGCCTAAGCAGTATGATCTTTGCCATTTTGTCGTTAACACAATTAACTTAACTCATTCACTGCCATTGACGTATATAGACGTTTTCTTCTTTCTATGGCTCATCAAGGCTCTTGTGCATCCTGTGTCAACATTTCAGACCTGTAAACACTTTGGAACCGATCCTGTAGGGGGCAGAGGTGACACTGTGGCCAGATTCAGGGAGGGAGAAGGGGGCATGTGGTGCTGTGAGCTGCAAAAAGCCAGAGGAGCAGCCATGCTTACACAAAGGACCGCGGACCTGAGAAGCTCACGCAGCTAACGCTGTTTGAGAGCCTGTTCAGTCATCAAACGGATAAATATGAAGCAGCTAGATGCCACAATGCTAGTTCTTCAGGTTTTAGTTAACATGAGACTCCAGGATCCTCAGAGCCTTCCCCCTCCCTCCCTCCTCGTCCAGCAGCAGCAGCAGCAGCAGCAGCAGCGGCTCCTCCCCCCGTCGTGATGTGGTAAGTTGCTTTTCACTTCAACATGTTGCATTTACGAGTTTATTTCTCCTCTTTGTCTAATGTACTATCAGCCCCTCTAGGATTTTTTTTTGGTTTGACATTTCTCACTGGGTTTGTAAAAAAAAAAAAAAAATACTAATCTGGAAATGTATTGGGAGTGCGGAGGAAGTAGATTCCACCCCACACTTCAGCAGAGTGTGGGGTCACCTAATTTCTATTCTTTATAAACTAAAGTAAAATTGTTTCACAAAGTGTTCAGAAAGTGTTAATTTTTACTGTATATTAGTATACAAAGTGTTTTTATTGTATACAAGTTGAATATTACAGTGTACATAAGACAATCCTTTGAGAGTATTGTGTGTACACGTTTAATTTGTTTAAAAATAATTATACATTAAAAATACAATTCAAAGTATTGTTTCTGTTTTGTGTCATAGTAAGAAACTGTCATACATTGTAAAATATCAGTAAAGACAAAAAAAACCCCACTTTTCATTTTGTGTGAAAGTTACCTATGTTGCACTCTCAATTGCTAAAAAACTAAAAGGGTTAGAAACGTACTTATTTTTTTTTTTTTATGAAATCCAAGGGATAGAGCTTTCATTTGGTATGTTTCATACCTGTGTCAACCAAGGGCTCACATTTCTATACGGTTCGGAAAAACACTAAAAATGTCCAAAATCTCTGGCAGTATGAGGGATGCTGCTTTTTAAATGGCTGGCAGTGAAGTTAATTCCTGAAACTATAGTTATAGTTAACCCTAACCCTAGTTAATTTAGCTAAAGAATCCGGACATTAACCAGATCCTAACCAACTTAATTTGTAGTGGAGAGAATGAAGCATCACACAAGCCTGTGGAGATGGCACCCTTCAGTCCGAAGGCACCGCAATCTGCACATCACACCGGACCAAGCTCTGGACCTGCGGCCTCACGTACCTGCACGGGCCACAGGAGCACTGAGGGCCTTTCGGAGGGTGAGCAGCTGGGGGTCCGTGGGGAGGAAGAAGAGCGAGGTGTTTACCTTTTGGATTGGAGGCAGACGTTTACTCTCTCTGTGCACGGCGTCCAGGGTCTCGATGTGCATCTGAACTATGTCTGAAGAAAAACATGATTGAAGAGAGAGCAAGGGACTGTCAGACTACTGCTGATTGTTCAAAGCATGTCTTTTCTATACACAAACATTATTTAAAAAACTAAAGTAAATGTACAAGGAACAACATTAGCAGTGTAGAAGAGGTTGTACCTGGAATCATGGTGTGAAGGGCCTTGAGGTGCTCGTTGGTCACTCCGCTCTCATTACAGACTTTGTCCACAAACCGGTTTATGAATCTCACTACAGAGTTGGCCACGTCTGAGCTCTCCGCGTCCTCAAAGCCACTCTCTGTATCAAAGCTCTCCGCCATGCTGCCTGCAATACTGAGGACAGATAATACATGAACATATATGAGCTCAACTAGTCATTCAAATATGTTTTTTTTCTGTGGTATAGTGTAAACTATGCTTTATTCTAAAAGCAGGTAATACTGTTTGAAGTGAGCATGAGCTGCACATAGGACTTAAGAGCTGTAATTGGTCCTGAAAAGTTAAGTCTGGTCCGAACCAAGCAAGCCTGGTCGTACCACACCATAGTACAAATTACATTTTGTACTAAGGTCTGGAGGCGCTCCATTGAGCTCCATAAACAGATAGGAGGGGTTAACTCCTTTTGCAGATTGAAACAATTGGATCTGAGTTTACCGTGTCGTGTGTAAACTCAGTCACCGAGTCTGTTGTTAGCATTTAGCATTTAGCCTAGCCATCTCCTTTGCCGCTAACGGAGCCCGTGGGGAGTAGCGCCACAATTTTTCCAGCGATTACATTTGCTAAACATTCCTATTGCTCCAGCTTCAATTTCTTGATAGAACCAGACCGGATTACTTTACTCGCATTTTTTGCCATTGGCAAACTACAACCTTCCCGTTCAACGCAAACTCTTGACGTCGCCTACAACTAACTAGAACACCTGCCTTCCGCGCTCTCTGAATGGTCGGTCGAGCTTCAACCGATTGTAATCGTTAACATGGGAACCAGACCCAGACGTTACATGCAGTGAAATGATGATTGAGTATAGTGCGTGCATTGCAGTGATGTCCTGTGTCTCTTTATCTGTGGGTGGTACTGGGTGTTCACACACAGCCGAACGTGCTGCGCAGATCTTAATGTGAAATGTAAAGTGAATACTGTACTTTTTTCCTGCACTTTGAGCACTGCGGCTAATACTACGTTGGGCTTTTAAATTTTTACCAAGTAACGGTGGACAAATATAATTGATGAGTAGTTCACAGAGATCCAATTGTCAGTCCTTTGTACTCACCCTCGTCAACATGGAAAATAGTATACTATTTTCTATAGAAGAAAAGAAAAGAAAGAAGAAAAGAATACGATGTGGCATTTAAGTTAACAGCAATCACTATGGAGGCTGCAGAAGGAAATTGAGCTGCCTCATCTTGGCATAACTTAATCAATGGTTAAGAAGGTAGAGATGCCAGCGTGAAAATGCAAAGTCTACGAACCTCAGGGTTCGAGTTAAGTTTCTGTTTCTCTTCCCGTTTACGTTCGGCTACTGTGCGCATGGATCTGGACTGTGCACCAACCAGCTCTGGCATGAATTGCGTTCTTTACAATCAGAGAGAGTCAATGTGTACAAGTGTGAGATGTGTCTTTCTCCAATGTGCAGCAAGCAGACATGGGAGCACGCCTTAGAGTAAACGGCGTAAACCTGAGAGATGAATGAATGAGAATGAAATAATGAAGAGTGTGGCGTACGAGCAGAGCCACCGGAGCCAGGCAGGATACAATTGTATGTTGGCGCTGCGACAATAAATCGGTAGAGTTGGGTATCGGTTTGGTCTTTTGTTTAAAATAAGACAATGTTTCAGGGGGGTGAAAACGCAAGCATTGAGAACCAGCCTACAGCGTGGAACAGAACAGATACGCTGCTCAGCAGGGGGGATGTTTCACAACCGGGGGAGGAAAAGGTATGAATTCTCTGCCTGCTATGACCTCCACTTCCCTGCATGTACATTTAGACATGTGCAGTAGCCAAGAACAAACGTAAACAACAATGGTGTCGTGTACACTAACTGAGGAGGATTCTACTCCTTCATCCGCCCAAACGAAACCATGCGAAGCTCTAGTTTCAGTTTCCATTTTCGCAGCTGCTGTTAAATGCAGAATGATGTTGGTGCATTCTTTCACTTTCCGGTGGCCTGAGGAGGATGTTGTTGAGGAAGTGAAACAACTGCTGGGGGAAATTTTAGCAAATTGTCTTGCAGTATCTCTGCAGCGTCTGCGTCTAAACAGGGCCAAAGTATCTGCAGCCCCTGGACATCAGTTTGAACAGGGCATTTAAGTTGGCACTGAGAGTGGCAGGGTCAGGGTAGGAAAGAAATTCTTTACCAACACAGGGAGCATACGAAGCATCTTAATCTCATGTCTGCCAGTAGATCATAAATACAGAGCCGTATCAAAACATCAACCAACAACGGGTTACGAAAGACTGGACAATAAACAGCAGGTCCAATGACAGGATTAGAAATTTTTCAATATTACAAAATGGACGTAGTTTTGGCTTTAGTACTTTTTAAAAATTAGAGCCTGCAGCATATAATTAGGTATGGAATGTAATTTTTACTTAGTACAATTGTTGTTTTCTATTACACGAGTTGCCTTTTGGGTGTGAAATGTCTGTCAGTTGATTGTGTCCAGTCTAAATAAATGTATAGACAGACCTGTTTGTGACGTAGCTGTTGCTCACACTCTCCACATCCCCCAGCCCGGAGCTCCGTAGAAGCCGGTTCTTGCTGGTGTCCAAGGGCAGCAGTAGGTAGCTCATGCGGTTGGCATAGTGGATGGCCTGGCTGAACACGGTGCTCTCCTCCTTCTGCATGCGCTCACACTGTAGTTCCTTGTTGAGCGTGGGCCACAAGCGGCTCTGTTCTGAGGCCAGCTCCAGAGCACTGAGCTCCCGCCGACTGTCCTCCTCCTCCTACGGCCAAAAAACACACAAAACCACATGTTGCTGTCATTTTCCTGAATCACTGTGTCCCAGAGCCTCATGCTGCTAATGTACAGATGCGAACATCTAACTACACATTGCTTGCACTAGAATACACAGTACTTCATACTTGCCTCTTATTTTGCCAAATGTAAAACTTTTACACTTTTTATTATTATTTTCAGCATAGAGATGTTATACTTGTTCTTTGATGCTAGAGTTTGAGATTTTGTTTTACTTTAATTAGTATAGCTATTGTTCACTTATCTTGTGCTGTGTGCTCCTCTTTCCTACTGTTCTATAACTTGTGATGCAACACTGAAATTTCCCCACTGTGGGACAAATAAAGGATCTCCTAATAAAGCCAGCTGGAAGGCCAACTTATTGTAGAAGAGTGGACTAGAGCGTTTGCAAAATGTGGGAGAAGCTGATTAGAAAAAATAATGCATATGGACTAAGGGTGGGAAGCTAAGGGTACCTCAGGATACGATACAATACAAAGTTCACAATAACGAAATTATCACGATAACGAAATTATCACGATAACGAAATTATCACGATAACGAAATTATCACGATAACGATATCACGATAACGATATCACGATAACGATATCACGATATGACAATCGATATATTGGTCAGAAATATACAATATGCCAATTTATGGCATAAATAAAAGAAAAAATACACTTTATTTCATAATAAATGGAATGGAGATGCGTAATGTAGCCATATATTAATTATTAATACCAATTTTTAAAAAAAATTGTAAAAAAAAATAAAAATTATATTGATACTTGGCAAATGCATATCGATAATCAAATCGCGGGAGAAAATATCGCGATATATCGAAAAATCAATATATCGTCACACCCCTAATATGGACATTTATTATGACGGAGTGACCTGTGCCCTAGCAGGACCAGATGCAAACAGATAAGTAAAACCTTTATTGGTCCTTCAGTTGTGTACATTATAGCAGAATAAAAGGAGAAAATAACGACAGCAGACATCAGTGGGAGTCTTACGGTGGGCTCGAACCCACATGTTAGCAAAATTGGCTATAACTCCTCTTGCTGTAACTGAAGCCCAAACGATACAACAGTGAGGAAGAGAAGAGGGAACTAAAGCGAAAAAATGATCAAAGAAGAAATCAAGCCCGGGTGAACATAGCTAGCTTACATTGTATCCTCTGGAGAGACCTGCAGGAGCGGGACCGCCTCGGACTATCTATGCTCGGACTACATTCGGACACAAAACTAGCGGTAATCTTTCTGTAATATATTTTGTTACCAGTGCGTTGCTTTTGTACCATTTCACTCACGCTAATGTTTGCAAATGTATCAGATCATAAATAAAACTAGATGGCTCTGTGGAATGAGAGCGTAGGGGAAATGAGAGACCTGTGAGCGAGTTGAGGGGCGGTGCTAAACAAACCTTGCAGAAACGGGTATAGCTCCTTTAAGCTGCTGGTAAACTACAAAGCCAGAAATGTCTATTCAGTGTTCCAAAGTGCCAAAGCAAATGCAACTTCTCATTTGGAAAGCAGGTCCCAGAGTCTGGAGGAGGAATGGAAGAGCACACAATGCTTGAGATCCAGAATGAAGTTTTTCCAATGTGGTTTTACTGCAAATGGCAAATAAATGAATCTGAATCTGATCTGAATCTGAAGTTTCTATCTATAGTGTCTATGATGATTTGGGAGGTTATGACTTCTGCTGGTGTTGGTCCAATGAGTTGACAGACACACTTGGTGATTTGGGGAATCACCAAAAGAAAGACGAGACTAAAGAGCACCTCAGTGGAACCGGTTGGAAAACCATCACATGTTGAACATTTATAGCAACGAAGGACTTATTGTTGGCAGCGTTACACAGTATTTCGGTCAATCAGGTGCAGCGTTTCCCGTGTAGCCGTTTCCACAGGGCTCACTCGTTTTACTTTAAAAAGAGCAAACACTACCACGGGACTCCATGTAAAGGAATAAACAAAAAACATGTAGATTTGCTGAGTTGTCTCTGAAATAAAGTAACAACGGTAAGAAAACCGTATGAATCCTTACTTCTTAGCTGCAAAAAGTTACGTGCTCTTTCGGCTCCACTCGCTCTGTAAACAAAGCAAAACCTCTCTCTTTCTATCTCTCTCTTAAAGTGACGGTAACTTAAATATTCTAAGTTAACAAAATTATTAGTTCTAAAGGGTCGGGGTGGTGGCAATCAGCTACCACCCAATTCACAGAGCGCTGATCCCCCTGCTCCTCACTGCTCCTCACTGATCCTCCTGCAGGTGAAGGGTCCACAGAAGGCATCTCTGTCGCTCAGAGGACAGCCTTGATCTTTCAGCGGGGGCTTAGGTCAACTTTTAATCAAACAAATAACGCTAGATAAGATATTACCAGTTTATAAAAAATATACAAATTGTTAACACTCTACAGTTTGTGCTACATGCAAAATAGAAAACTAACTAAACTTAGCTTGGCTCATTTGCAGTTAAGATGTATCTAATCCACATCGAAGCAAAGTATAACTTTAACTGTCAGAACGTTAAACTAATATAAATATGTCCATAGTAACGGAGAGACATAACGAAAGATTTCAACGTCAGTAAAGAGAAAACAGAGTTCATCATGCGCAGACCAACTGACAGAGCACACAACTCGTCAGAACACCGGATGTGTCATGTGCATTTTTCACCATTGAATTTTTCTCATTCAATTTAGACTGTTGAATTTAACATTATGAAATTGATAATCAGTGACTGAAATTCACAGACGAAAATATTCAAGATGTTAAAAACATTCAAATAGATGAATTCAGGGCCATTTAAAATGTGTCTTTTTTATTGAATATTTTGAAGGTGAATATGTCATTTTGAAATTTTATTCACATTGAAATTTGTAAACTGAATTTTTAGTGACTGAAATGTAGAGATAAAAGTATTCAAACATGCTTTTTCAGGGTAAAAAATGTCTATCTGATGACACAAAAAATCTTCCATAGTACTCAATACATATGCATGATTATAGTTCTTAGAGGATCTGTTTAACATAATTCTAAATTTGATTTAATGAAATATTCTAATCTTTTGAAACTAGTTAATTAATAAGGGATTTTTACAAGCTGTAAGCCATAATAATCACGATCAAACATAGCTTGATTAATATATACCCTTTTTCACGATTTCACTCATTTTTTGGGTTTCACCTTTACAGTCTATGTGTCGTACAGAGTTTTTTGCACAAGCTCCTGCTCACTAATGCTTAAAAGATTAGAGGAGTAGACCCAAATGAATACTTCCATGTTAAACATAATGCATATTCTTAACACCCTGGCCCTTCAATATAATGCAAAGTGCATAACTTTTACAAATAATGTATCTAATGTAGTCCCGACAACGGAGAGATAAAACCAATGGGATTTTGTACATTCAGGAAGGAGGGGGGGGTTAGTTCAAGGTCTAACGATAATGACTTGATTTTTTCAGCTGATCCAACAACAGCAACAGGTTTGCTTCTCACATCATAGCTGTGCTGTTCCTCGGCTGTCTCCAGGTAAAGTGCTCGGATGTGGCTTTGGACATCGCTGTAGAACATGGCCTCCCAGAACTGCATGTTTGTCCACACTGAGTGCTCCTGGACACAGCTGTAGGCAAATTGAGTGATGCCCGCGCCCAGTTTCTGCACAGAAGGGAAACGCGTCACGTATTCCATTACAACAACACATTTAGAGCAGTGAAGGTGTCGGTGACTCACTCTGCAGAAAGCTGTGACCAATGGTAGCAGTGCAGCAGCGATGCCATGTTCGTCCATGTGTGAGCAGTCCTGGGGAGAGGAGAAGTAATTTAAGCAGAACTCAATAGTGAAGGCAGTACGGAGCAATCTATTAAAGAAGCTATACCCGATTTTCTTTTTAATGAGTTCATAAAAATGCTTATTACTACATACAAGTTGTATTAAAATCCATAATTTAATCGAAAACTTGAGCTCATTGATTCAGCTTGTGTATGAATTCAGGCCGTAAAAAGTGCTGAGTAGAGACTTAGCATGACGCCTGCTCTCCAATCACAGAACGAGGAACAAGCAGGCTTTTACAGCGCTGCTAAACACAATAGCATGTTAGCAGAATTCGCTATAACTCCTCTTTCTGTAACTGCATACACAGCAAAACAGCCCAAACAACACAATAGTGAGGAAAAGATTTCATCGTTGATGAAACGATGAAATCAAGCCCGGGTGAACGTAGCTCGCTTACATTTTTATCCTCCCTTAGACTTACAGTCTAAGGGAGAGACACCTTGGCTCCTTCCTATCTCCAAGACACGTTAGTGTCATATCAACCAAGTCGAGCGTTGCGCTCACAAAACGCCAGACGTCTGGTGGTTCCTAAGGTCTCAAAAATCACTGTTGGCGGCAGAGCATTTAGCTACCAAGCTCATTTACTGTGGAATCAGCTTCCCATTTAGGTTAAGGAAGCAGATACGGTCTCCACATTCAAGGCCAGGCTTAAAGCACTCTACTTTAATTTAGCATATAATTAGGTTATATATAATTTATGGTGTATTTATTATATATATATATATGCTGTATTATGTTATATATTATGTTGTATATCAGGGGTCACCAACGCGGTGCCCGCGGGCACCAGGTCGCCCGCAAGGACCAGATGAGTCGCCCGCTGGCCTGTTCTAAAAATAGCTCAAATGGCAGCACTTACCAGTGCTATTCTTGTTTAAATCATACTTACATGCAACTTACAAATGGCATATAAACTAGAGCCGGGACTTTAACAAGTTAATAAAGATTAATTAATTACACACAAAAAAGCGCGTTAAAAAAATTACGCATTTTAATCGTATGTATTTTTGCACCGCGGAACGTTCCTCACTGAATAAGTTTCAGACGGACCAATTGAACTGGCGCACCAACCGGAGCTCCGTGACTTTTCTTGTTCAAAAGTACATTATTACAAGCAGAGACCAACTTTATATTCAAGTAAATTAGACGGGAATGAGCGCTGTGTATGGAGCGATGGACTCTGTGTGTGAGGAGGAGGAGGAGAAGGAGGAGCGAGACACAGGTGTGTGAGCTGCTAATGCTGATGTTCACTCCGAATGCACACATCAAAAACGTATTATAAAAGCTTTAGCAAACAGCGCATGCCCAGCTTTAGTGCTCACAGCGTGTGCAGTGGATTTTGGGCTTAAAAAGAGTATGTTGTCGTCAGTGTGAGGAGGAGGAGGAGCATATGTTGTCGTCAGAGTGTGGAGGCAATGACAGAAACGTTATTTGATGTTTAGAAGTTATCCCTTAAACTCCATATTAACATGTGTTGATTAAGCTTCATGTATTCAGTCATTATTCAATGGTAAACTAAAAATCCATGTGAAAAAATTACTTCTCACTGTTCTCAAGTCAAATATTTATATGCGATTAAAATGTGATTAATTGCGATTAAATGGGACTGTCTTAGAAGTGATCATTTGTTAAATTTGAAAAATGTGCACTTAGAGAAAATATAAAAGTTTTTCCACAAAATAAATATCATTAATTATTAGTAAAAACATAGAATTAAAGGTAAATTGAGCAAATTGGCCATATCTGGCAATTTATTTAAGTGTGTAACAAACTGGTAGCCCTTCGCATTAATCAGTACCCAAGAAGTAGCTCTTGGTTTCAAAAAGGTTGGTGACCCCTGTTGTATATTATACAATATACAGTGCCTTGCGAAAGTATTCTGCCCCCTTGAACCTTTCAACATTTCGCCACATTTCAGGCTTCAAACATAAAGATATAACATTTAAATTTTTTGTCATGAATCAACATCAAGTGGGACACAATCGTGAAGTGGAACAAAATTTATTGGATAATTTAAACTTTTTTAACAAATAAAAAACTGAATAGTGGGGCGTGCAATATTATTCGGCCCCTTTACTTTCAGTGCAGCAAACTCACTCCAGAAGTTCAGTGAGGATCTTTGAATGATCCAATGTTGTCCTAAATGACTGATGATGATAAATAGAATGCACCTGTGTATAATCAAGTCTCCGTATAAATGCACCTGCTCTTTGATAGTCTCAGGGTTCTGTTTAAAGCGCAGAGAGAACCATGAAGACAAAGGAACACACCAGGCAGGTCCGAGATACTGTTGTGGAGAAGTTTAAAGCCGGATTTGGATACAAAAAGATTTCCCAAGCTTTAAACATCTCAAGGAGCAATGTGCAAGCAATTATATTGAAATGGAAGGAGTATCAGACCACTGCAAACCTACCATGACCCGGCCGTCCCTCCAAACTTTCATCTCAAACAAGGAGAAGACTGATCAGAGATGCAGCCAAGAGGCCCATGATCACTCTGGATGAACTGCAGATAACTACAGCTGAGGTGGGGATGGTGTGTTCAGGGTGATGAGCTGTGTTGCTTTTACGCCAAACATATCGTTTTGCATTGTGGCCAAAAAGTTCGATTTTGGTTTCATCTGACCAGAGCACCTTCTTCCACATGTTTGGTGTGTCTCCCAGGTGGCTTGTGGCAAACTTTAAAAGAGACTTTTTATGGATATCTTTGAGAAATGGCTTTCTTCTTGCCACTCTTCCATAAAGGCCAGAGTTGTGCAGTGCACAACTGATTGTTGTCCTATGGACAGACTCTCCCACCTCAGCTGTAGTTATCTGCAGTTCATCCAGAGTGATCATGGGCCTCTTGGCTGCATCTCTGATCAGTCTTCTCCTTGTTTGAGATGAAAGTTTGGAGGGACGGCCGGGTCTTGGTAGATTTGCAGTGGTCTGATACGCCTTCCATTTCAATATAATTGCTTGCACAGTGCTCCTTGAGATGTTTAAAGCTTGGGAAATCTTTTTGTATCCAAATCCGGCTTTAAACTTCTCCACAACAGTATCTCGGACCTGCCTGGTGTGTTCCTTTGTCTTCATGGTTCTCTCTGGGCTTTAAACAGAACCCTGAGACAATCAAAGAGCAGGTGCATTTATACGGAGACTTGATTACACACAGGTGCATTCTATTTATCATCATCAGTCATTTAGGACAACATTGGATCATTCAAAGATCCTCACTGAACTTCTGGAGTGAGTTTGCTGCACTGAAAGTAAAGGGGCCGAATAATATTGCACGCGCCCCTTTTCAGTTTTTTATTTGTTAAAAAAGTTTAAATTATCCAATAAATTTCGTTCCACTTCACGATTGTGTTGTTGTTGATTCATGACAAAAAATTAAAATGTTATATCTTTATGTTTGAAGCCTGAAATGTGGCGAAATGTTGAAAGGTTCAAGGGGGCCGAAATTTTTTACTGTATGTATTATGTTGTGTATTGTGTTATGTTGTATATTATGTTATATATTATGCTGTATGTTATGTATTGTATATAATATATATAATATGTATGGTACATGTGATATATATGATATATAATTAGGTTTGCCTGGATCGGTTTGCACACCTGGTGTGCAATCCATGAATCTTGGTGCTGTAGCCTGGGCTAGCCTAGCCGTGGCTGCTGCTGTTGTCTCACCTCCTTTCAGATACGCTCTCTTTATTCAAGGCTAGGTTTAAAACAGTCCTCTTTAGTTTAGCATATGGCTAGGAAGGTAAGGCCCCGTCCCAATTCTCGCCCTTGCCCTTAAAAAGCACACTTGCCCTAGCGTTTGCGCGTGCCCGCGCGAGTGCAAGGGTGTCCCAATACTTAGGGAGACGAGGCGAGGGTCTTCACTGCCCTAAAAACCACCCTTGAGCGCAAGTGAGGTCGGGAGCTCACTTGCGAGCGAGGGTGATCCCATGATGCATTGCGAACTCGGCAAACCAGTTTTTCCAAATGAACATGGCGCCGACTCTCGGGAGCGAAAGCTACAAATGTAAGTACAATTTCACACAAACATGCACTCTAAAAGCTATGAAACGTGTCAGAATTATGTGGGTACGCAATTTGTTGTACAATGTAGAATGCCGGTGTTGGCTCGCTGTTTCGTACGTGTGCATGTGCATGGCATGGTGTGCATTGAATTCATAAACATAGGTAAGCGTTTGTCTTCACCATTAACGTTGGTTGTGTGTTTGCAAATCTGCGCAAACAGCTTGCAGTAGTAGTGGAACTGAGCAATTGACCAACGCTGTTTTTCCCCCAGGGACCACGGAGAAAACCTTTGCTCTCATAAATTACAGAGCTGCGAATGAAGCCAATTTTCTGAAAACAAAATTTCAGACAACAAGTCTGTGGCAGTAAGTGAAACTTCTATTCTTAATAATAATGCTATTGAACACAGCTAAATGCCTATACCTCACTGTATGTTCACAGGCAAGCAGTGAAAGAGCTGGGCCTGGAGGGGAAAGTGACCCACAAGCAGGTCAGTAAGAAGTGGGAGAACCTGAAGAAGCGCTACAAGGTAATTATCTGCAAATATATCTGTCTGGTTAATCCTGTAACCTCAACTCACTTTGCTGTGTGTGTGTGTAGGACCTAAGGGACCCAAAGACTGGCTCAGGCACAGATAGTGGGGAGAAGACCGCTTCAAACTGGCCGTATTACGCTGCGCTTCACGCAGTCTTGGGGGGAAGGCCTGCTGTGGATCCCCCTGTTGTTGTGGCGTCTTTCAGGCCACCTGAAGACCCTACAGCTTTGCTAATGGTAAGAAACAAGGGAATATTTTTATAGGGGCGGTGTACAATAAACATTAACCCAAAGGAAAGATGCATTGAACCACTAGTCCCTGAGCAGGTTGTTGTCAAACAGTAAAATGTAAGTAATTGGAGGAATTATCAGACCAAAATTTCTATTTCATTTACCACAAGTTAAATAAAA